TCGTCTTCCTTCGGGAACCCGTGCATTCTGGTCTCTCGCCAAGGCTGTCCAAGGGAATTTCTGTAAGCCATCACTACCATCTCTGCACAGGGAGGATGACTCACTGGCCCATGACGCAAAAGACAAAGCCGACCTTTTAGGCTCCCTTTTTGCGTCCAACTCGACTCTTGATGACGGGGGGAAAACACCGCCGACCATCCCGCGGTGTGAGTGCTCCATGCCGGATGTGCTGTTCTCACAGCGCTCGGTTCGCAAAGCACTGCTCTCCCTGGACATCCAGAAGTCGAGTGGGCCTGACGGAATCCCCCCAATTGTGCTGAGGACGTGTGCTCCGGAGTTGGCACCGGTCCTAACGCGTCTTTTCCGGTACTCCTACTCCCAAGGCGTAGTCCCGAATTCATGGAAGACAGCTTTTGTCCACCCGATCCCTAAAAAAGGCGACCGCTCAGACCCGTCCAACTATAGGCCTATCGCGATCACCTCCTTGTTCTCCAAAATAATGGAATCCATTATTAACTGCCAGCTCATCCGGTACCTTGAGGATCACCAGCTGATTAGTGACCGCCAATACGGTTTTCGTCGGTGTCGATCAGCTGGTGATCTTCTTGTCTACCTGACCCATAGATGGGCGGAGGCAGTAGAGTCCAAGGGGGAGGCGTTGGCCGTTAGTCTTTGTGCCAAACGATCGGGTTTGGCACAAAGCGCTTCTTTCAAAGCTGCCTTCCTATGGGCTTCCCGAGAAATTGTGCAATTGGATCACCAGCTTTCTTGCAGATCGGAGCATCAAGGTCGTTGTAGACGGTGCATGTTCTGACTACAAGCCTATTAACGCTGGTGTTCCACAAGGCTGTGTGCTATCACCAACGCTGTTTCTTCTGCATATCAATGATATGTTGCTAACTGGTAACATTCATTGCTATGCGGATGACAGCACTGGTGATGCTCTATACACCGGCCGGGCCAATATTTCTCGGGAAAACGTCGCCAAGTACCGGAACAAACTTGTGTCTGAAGTCGAGTCTTTGCTGGACAAAGTCTCGGATTGGGGGCGACTAAATCTAGTCCAGTTTAATCCTCAGAAGACACAAGTTTGCGCGTTTACCGCTAAAAAGAACCCCTTTGTCGTATCTCCTCAGTTTCAAGGCACTCCCCTTCTTTCCTCAGCCAGTATCGGTATCCTCGGAGTCGACATATCGAGTGACGTGCAGTTTCGTGGTCACTTGGAAGAGAAGGCCAAATTGGCCTCTAAAAAGCTTGGCGTGCTCAGCAGAGCGGGACAGTATTTCATGCCGGCACACCGCCTGCAACTTTACAAGGCGCAGGTTCGGCCTCACATGGAATACTGTTCCCATCTCTGGGCAGGGGCTCCCCAGTGCCAGCTTCTTCCACTTGACCGCATCCAGCGCAGAGCGGCTCGAATCGTCGACGACCGAGCCCTTTCCGATCGGCTCGATTCATTGGCACTGCGAAGAGATGTTCCATCTCTTTGCATTTTCTTTCGCATCTACCATGGGGAGTGCTCTGAGGAATTGTTCGGATTAATCCCAGCCGCCAAATTTCACGAACGCACATCGCGGCAGAACTCCCGATACCATCCACACCATCTGGATGATTGGCGGTCCACCACTGTGCGATTTAGAAGATGTTTTCTTCCTCGCACAACTTCCTTGTGGAATAGTTTACCACCAGGGATTTTTCCGGACCGATACGACTTAGGGACCTTCAAGAAAAGAGCCTACTCCTTTTTAAAAGGCCGGCAACGCATCTGCAATTCCCCTGGTGTTGCGGTTGTTCATGGGCGGCGGTAGTCACTTACCATCAGGTGAGCCGCATGCTCGTTTGCCCCCTCTCCTATAAAAAAAAAAAAAAAAAAAAATATTTAAAAAGGTACAAAAGCATATAAAAATGCTCATTCTAGAAATGAAAAGTACTATAACTTAAGAAAACGACATGTTGAGTTAAAAGTAGGTCAGATTGTATATAAACGTACCCATTACCTATCTAATGCCTCAAAGAGATTTACGGCTAAACTAGCACCAAAATTTCAAAAATGTGTCATAACAGCGAAATTATCACCTTTAGTGTATACCTTAGCCAGCATGGAAGGTAAGACACTAGGTAATTTTTACATAAAAGACATCCTTAAACAAGATGACTAATAGTTTTGTAAAATTTGTAGTGAGTACGATTGAGTGAAAGAATGTAAGAATAATAAACATTTTCAAAATTCATTTCCACCGGTGAACTTTCTGAGATAAATAAGCTGTGATTGTATTGATGAACGAGCGATACATAACTAGTAGGTCATCTTATGTTGTGAACATCGGCGCGAGTTAGATAAGAATTTGTTCTTTATGTCCGCACTCTGGACATTATATAAGAAAATGCATACCAGCCAGTGCGTAGCATTACTTAAGTTGTTTCTTTTAACTTAATATGATTAAACGTTAATTCACTTAACTTAATGCGAGATAGATATTTAACTTAACTTAATACTTAATATGATTTTCAAATCACTTAACTACTCAACTTAATAAATAAGAACACGTTCGTTTTTCGACTACTTAGAGAAAAGTCGAGTCGAAACGTAAACATCGTGTGTAGGCTTAGTGCACTGTAGGTATTCGTTTCTGTCCCGTGATGTTACGTCACGCACCGCATGAATGGTAATAAACTATTCGCGCGTAGGATTCTGGAACGTAATTATTCATAGGCGGTTGTATTTAATTATTGTAAAAACATGTAGGAATAAATTTAAATAAAGTAAATATAGGTATAACAATTAGTGTAGTATTTTCTAACTTACAACACAAGTAGGTAAATTTGTGGTAGTGTTTTTTTTGTGTTAACAACACAAGTAGGTAATTACATTTTGAGGTTAAATTGTTTAGTGGAATATAATGTTACTAGGTATACAGATACAGAAATGAAAATTAGGTAATAAGTAGAGTAATAATGAGCCTTGTGTAAGATTAAACGTCGTAATTAAGTGATTAAGTGATGGCTTGGTACTTGTTAGTTGTTGGTGCATGGGTGACTTGGAATTTACTATCCGTGCGAATGTTTTAGCCAGATTGAATTAGAGACGCATTACAACTTCTTCACTGTCTTTGGTATTCAGTCGTTGTTCTGCAGGTGGCACGAAATGTCTTCGGAAAAAGTATCTTCATTACGAAGAACTTTTTAACCCAAGCAAAGGGGATGTGTAACACGAAAATTTTCGTGTACATTATTTTAGCATATTTACGTTATTACATGCGATGAACAGACTTCAGAGCGCCATCTAACGTCATTAGTCCGAAGTAACTAGAAACGTATATTGACGAATCGAGCTAGCTAATCGCATGCAATTGACCTTTCGTGTTAGTTCGAAATCCTACCACGGATCGACGGTGGCGTGTAGCCCAAGGGAGGCCTAGTTCTTTTTGGAGCGAGCCGTTGTAATGATCGGACACGCACATATATAATTTTTGAATCGAAACGCCGGAACATGAATTTAAAGTGACGACTACTTGGGCGTACGGCCCCTTAAACACAATGTCTACGGGCAGTTTAATGTGTTGAAACACATCATCCCATAAATTGTAAGTACTTAATGTTTTTGTCTTCTTAAAAGCACATGTGCTCTAATTAACGGTACACGGTGTTTCATAGATTCTTTTGCCTTGTCATAGGGGTCCTTAGTCCTTAGTCCTTAGTCCTTAGTCCTTAGTCCTTGGTCCGTACTTTGAGTATGGTCCATTATCAAGTTCAACAATGTGAACGAGGCGAGGCAGCTTCAACGGGTGGCTATATTGGGACTGGGCGGCCAGGAGACCGCGACCGGCGTACACCTGGAGGATATCTGTTGCCTCACTGCTTCGCGGGATTGACCATAAACAGTGTAATATTGTGTAATCTACCAGGTTAATCAAAACCTCAGTTCGTAGGGTATTTTAAAGTGAAAACTTGATATTTGGAGCTATATAAGTGAACCGTAGAAGGAAATAAACTACTTTTTGTCTGTATATGTAACTTAGCATTTTCATTTACTAATCATCCAACAACAGGCGCCCTGGGATACTTTTATTTTGATCCTCGAGTCCCTTAACTCTCCGACAACCGTAGCCGGTGAGTAACGCCCTAAAAATGTTATACAGTTTCGGGCGTTTGCAATCAAATTGTGCAAATCACAATTTTTTGATTAATTTAAAAAAATCGATATAATAAAGATTACGTACGAAGATTATTTAGTAGAACTATTTTATGAGAATATAAAATGGAATAAAATAAACACGATAATGATGTTACTAATATAACTTTATTAAACATATATTAATGGTAAAAAATGCAGCCGTAATAAAATTTAAGAATATTATTAAACCCAATTAATTTGCTCGAATACAATAAGCACATCGTGTCATGTTTAATTTTAACCGACTTCAAAAAGGGAGGAGGTTATGAATTCAGTGTATTATTTAATGTTTTTTACCTCAGAATTCTACAATTTCTAAACCGATTTAAATTTTCTTTTTTGAAAGGATATACACACAGATTGATCCAATACAAGCTGAAATTTTAATGGTTGTTTTCCCGAAGTAAAATGATTTTGCCTTAGTAGTACAATAGATTTATTAAAATAAAATTATTAGGATTAAATGGCAGATTTACAATCGAGAAACACAAAACTCGAATGCGATCTCAAACCAATAGCAATATCTCGCAAGTAGGTCGGGCGTACAGGCTAGCAGTGATGCATAGACTTATTAAGACTAGGGGCCACTCGGGCAAATTATGAACTGATGGTGGGCCGCCAGAAGTATAGGTAATTAAAGACAATAAAGAATTGATAATAATGTATTAAAATTGAAAACGAATTTATTAATTTGAAGCGTGGCACTGCATAGTGCTTAGAATCTTTTTTATATTTGGCTCAAATTTACTTGTAGCAACACGTAAAACGGCTTTCAAACTTTCATTTGCAAGGCGGTTTCGATTTTTTGTTTTATTATTATTTAGTATTAAAAGGTTTGTTCACATATATAGGTAGAACCAAATAAGCTGGCACATTTCAGAGCGCTTATGCGCAACTCTTTGTACGTATTTTTATCAATGCAGCGGTAAAAGTTCAGCAAGTCTCCTTCGTTGAATTTGTTGCGTAAATCTTGGTCGTTTTGAATGTCGATAATTTCTAACTGCAGTGATTCTGGCGCATTTTCAACTGAAATCGTGAAAGGATTGCTGAATATGTCCAAAATTCAATGAACACATTCCTAATAACTCTTCTAAGACTTCAAAATCTTGAATAACACCTCGTATGAATATCAGAAGTTGAGCTGTGGAACTAATATCAGTGGATTCGTCGAGTGCTAATGAAAAAAAATTCAATGATCTTAGTTTTTTCATTTAATTTTCCGCAATATTACCTGACAAAGACATAATTCGTCTTTGGATAGTCATACGATTCAGTTGAATTTTCTCAAACTTTTTTGCCGCATCTGGACACATTTTCTTAGCGGCAATTTCTATGCATTCTTTTACAAAATCCCCATCATTGAAGGGGCGACTTCGCTTTGCATTGATTCGAGAAATTTCATAACTAACTTCTGTAGCTGTTTCTGAATCTTGAATGGGTTTTGTAAACATAGCTTGCTGACCAATAAGCTCCCGTTTTAAAGACAACATTTTTTGCTTTCTTAATTCGCCTGTAAACTTGGTAAAAGTAGGATGCTGCATTTCATAGTGCTTTTTTACATTATATTCCTTTGCAATCGCAACAGAATTCTTGCAAATTAAACAAACGACTTTGTTATGCGACCATACAAAAAAGTATTTCGCAGTCCAAATTTCTTGAAACTGCAGATTTTCATCTTTAACCTTACGTTTTTTAATAGGTCCTGGCTTGTCCATGGTGCATTCTAATCCTGGCTAGGATTAACACAGCACCTAAAAACAATTACAGTGCCTACTTAAATTACCCATCATTTTTTAAATTACTAAAAATAATTGATTAAATAGGTAGGGAAACACTTATTAATAACAGATTTTTACTTACGATTTCACAACACAATTATACACGGCACTTGACGGGAAATCGACGTTGAATGTGGATCAAAATATATGACACCGGCTAGTCGAGTTAAAATCTACACTAGAACTATTGACACTCAAATTAAAACCGAACTGTCGGTCACTGCGGTTAGCGTGGCTTTTATACCGCGCGTATAGAGTCGAAAACTGTCTGGAGAAATCACGAAACCGACTCTGGAAGCTTCGTGTATCTACCTACGCGAGCAACCGGGAATTCAGGACTATTCGTATCTCGCTTGTTCTAACAACATAACCCGTGGATAAGCCGCCACCGCGCTGCCGTCGTCGCCGCGCTGCCGGCCGCGGCGGTTCTTCAAGAAAACGAATTTAACCGAGATCACCACGAACATTACCGACCGCTGTTACCGACGCATGCACGGCGTACCGATAAGCGCACTTAAGAGCGCGCGCGCGAGATTCAAATTACTTTTCGAACATATTTTTTTTTTGGTTTTATTCTGTAATATAATTCAATATTTTTCGAATGTACGAGAGTAATATAAGTCTGAAAAAAATTTTGCTGGACGTAATGTAGTGTTACGTCTATCGTACGTGTCACCGCGCGCTTTCTACATAGTGAAGGGCCACTAAATGTTCATAAGATGAACTCTCAAGCGTAGTGATACGACATAAACTAGTTTGGACGCCCGAATAGCTTGTGAGATATTACTATTGTAAATCTGCCCTTTTTTAATTGTAATATTTTTTAATTTAATAAATTGACCCTACTATCGAGACAGTATAATTTGGCTGCGGGACAACAACCACTAAAATTTCAGCAAGTATATACAAATTGATCAAGCTTAGAAATCAGTGTACATACATATTGATAACCTTTCTTTTTGGGAGTCGGTTAAAATAGGCTATGTTTGGGTCTAACGTAACATCTGGTTAATATTTGGGTGTAAAGTGACATCTGGTTAGTAAAGGCATTCTTATTATTAATCTCATGATGTTGTAAATAAAAAAGGTTTTATTCTATACTCTAAAACGTAACCTTAGTCAATAAAAAAAGCAATTAAAATAAAATAGTTGCGTTAAAATGGCGTCGACGAATCGCGATTAGCTGATCACTCCGTATTAGTTTTAAATAGGCACCCATTGTTAATATAATGTCAACACTTAGAGAAGTAGGTATCTATATATAAACATTTGAGTTTTACACAGAGCGTTGCAATTAAATGTTTTAAACAAAAATAGAAAATAAATATTTTTAAAAGAAAATTGTGATTTTTTTTCCCCACAACTAGCAACATTTGTATTATGAGAGCTTAGGTAAGTATTTTTTTAGTTTTACGTACTTATAATGAATTAAATGTATAAACTTATATGTGAAATGTAATACCATCACTTCTATTATGTTTATCATCACCGTTATGACAATATTTTACAACACAAACGGTAATTTTTACAATTCTTCGCGAGCTCTTCTCCGTAAGACGTGACGTTGCGCACTGACGCGTCGCTGAGTCAACTAACGCGGTTTCGCGTTAGTTTTACTTGCTTCACTTTCGGTGCGCGTACTAGTATTCTATGCGTAATAATTATATGAGTACTATTTTTTTTAGAAATTTTTCGCCTTTTGAAATGAAATGTTAAATTATTTAAAATTATTGAAATGCGATATAAGAGGTATCATTATCATTATCATCAGAGTAGTCAGTCGTAAATATGTCTCACGGGACAATGTGACCCTTTTGAAATATTCTAAATTTGAATATTATATTTTTCACTTATACTAGAATGTCTAATGTTTATTTTATGTTACTGGATTGGGTGGAGTACGTTAAATTATATGAATAACCAATTGTTTTGCAACAAAATATATTATATTAATATTTTTATTAAGATTTGAAATTAATATATACACAGAAAAAATAAACTTACTGAACTATCTGATTCGATTCGAAAACATAAAAAGTCATGGTGATATGAATTATTAGACCATCTATTGGGCGGACGCCTTACACTTCGCCTGCCGATACTAGGCTGCCCCTCGAGAACCTTTCTTTCACATCGGTTGTCGGTCATTTTCAACGCTAAGGCAAAACTAAAATCTCCATTCTTTAACAGTATTCAACATCTCCCCAAATGAACTTCAAAACGGAAAAGAACGTCTGTGGTGGAAGTTCCAGCGGTGGTGGCGACACCAAACCTCCCCCAAAGCCAGGAGCCACCAAAGCGGAACCCACCAAAGTCGAGGGAGCTGGTGTTCAAGGACAAATAATAGCTGGTAAAAAGAAATGTGACAATACGCCAGAAAAGACAGAAAGGAGAAACAGAAGGAAATTGTTAGAATTCCGCTGAACACATATGGTCAATGTGCTAAATTAATTAAAACCTTCTATGTTTAATGTAACTATTTCAATAACTGCATCTTGTTTTAAAGAACTCGTTTTCGATCATAGGCAGCGCTCACTGAGAATATTTTCTATTTTCTAGATATCAGGCTATAAATAAATGCATTGCGAATATCAAGATTAATATTTTTTATAAGGTCTTAATTCGATCTGGAAAATTGTTTAAAACATCTCAAAAGCGATAAAGAAAACGTTTGATAGAGGTATGATTAGAGGAAAATAAATCTCCAACTTTGGAGCCACAGGTATTTCTTAAGCATATCATTCTACCTTATAAACTTCAAGGTTAATTTTTACGTCTTTCATTATTTTTATTGGAGGTCAGTTTCAAGTAACAAAGTCCCATACCTCAGCAAAATAAAAATCATTTTTATTTTTGTTTTAGTGAAAAAGGTACTAAAGTGTCAACATTACATTATATTCAATATTTTCAAAGTATCGCTGGCATTTTTCTTTAAAGTGTTGACTGTTTATAAAACAAAAACAAGAAGAAATATTTAAATATTTTCATTTTACAAACATTTATTTAACTTGCTTTATTCAAATGTCGTTACAGTTAAAATTTTTATAATTTTGAAGCACTTTCTGACATCCCATTGGGCTATTTGGCATCATGTAACATCGATGACAATGAAATAATATGGTACCATTGATGTAATCTATAATGGACCCAGATGCTGGCCCTAGAAATGTCTATAAAAATTATTTTTAAATATTTAAAACAATATTGTTTTATCAAATTTTATGTAGAACACATTATTTTACTAATTAATATAAAAAATAAACGAGTTGCACGAACACCTTCCAGTCATAACTAAAAATGCTATACTAGGCTGACTAATTAAAATGGCCCTAGCTATTGATTGATGGCAAAAATCAATGAAAAAAAAACTTATTCCCAATGCCAAACACTGGCAAAGGGGCGCAGCATTAATAGTGCAATGAAATCATTACGATGACAACCCGCTCGATCAGCGTTGTGAATAGGGGAAGCTCTCAAGAAATATTTCTGAATACATACGTTTTGACATGCATCCAGCAATGAAACTAAGGTAGGTATCCAGCAGTAAAACAATCGCAAATGAAAGATTGAATATTTTTGTGTTATCCATTGTACTGCGTTTGTTTAAAAAGTGTGATATTATTTTTAATTTAATGTTCTCCTCTATATGCTAAAGGAATTTGTTCAGATATTCCATATTCAAGATATAATAGATACATGTAATTCTCGGTTACATCGCTATAGGGAATTGATCTCGTGTTAAATACATTTCGATAGCAAATTGAATAAACATACAATAGATAACCCCTGTAATGTGCTCGAAGCAAAATAAATTATTAGATTCTAAATAAAGATATTATGTAAATCTAGTTAAATATAGGGTAAGATTTCAGGGACAAAATTCTTTCACAATTTAATTCATTTATTACAATCTGTCAGAACACCACTGATGAACATAGCTCTCGCCCATAGATTGCCTCAGGTTGTCTTTATTTTAATTAGTTATCAGGTAAATGCTACTGCCCATCTTCTGGATCAGTTTTCCTCTATAGCCTCGTAAGACTTCCATGGGATGTGGGTAGTGGATACTCTTACGTCACCACTACACTGTACTGTATGAAACTTAAAAAAAAGTTAGGTTTGTTACAATGAGAGGTAATAAAATAACCCTCAATAGATTTCGCTAGTTCAGACACAGGTAAAGTTATTTGTTACACAATATCAATATAATTGAGAAGTAACATTGTTACATCAAATAATTTAACTCACGCCTAATTAGCGCTGTCCTGGTGGCACTAACAGTGGTAAAGGCCACGCGGCAGCTTTTGCTGTCGCACGGATGGACGGGCTCGAACCGGGGTGGTACCACGACAACACAGAAAACCAGCATGAAGTAGAGGTTTACCTCAGCGTTTCGCTTGGTGAGTGCAGGTGGCCGGAGGCCTTTTTTACTGGAAATGAGGCATTCCACCTTAGTCCTCACGGGTGACAACGCATCTACATTTTGATTTGTAATAGAGGATAGATGTACATGTCTATGGGCCGTAGCAACCACTTACCATCAGGTGGACTGTGTGCTCGTTTGTCACCCTTATCTTATATAAAAAAAGAAAAAGACATAAATTCCCATTCCCTTACTGCATGATTATACAACAATCGGATACTTTTGTGTTAAATTACATATTAAATAACATTATTTAAAATTAAATTATGAGAAGTAACAAGAGATTTTTAATTGTCCTCTCGTATTTCTTTTTCTTTATTCATGATTATTTTGTAAGTCATGAATTCTTTTACTACCAGCAGTGCATACTACTCCTCATTGATATAAAATTTAAAAACTTTGGGCCTTCTTTTAAAAGCCATAAATGTTTTTGTTTTAGCATAACTTTTTTATTATTTATGAAAAGCTTATGAAAAGCTTTTTTTTACATTTTATTGCGCTCTTTGTGGCGAAA